AAAGAATTTTGAATTTACAATAAAAATCCAGTTTACTATAAGAGCTCAATGAAGAGTGCCATTCTTGCATATAGTTATCCTGAACTCTTTGTACAAACTCTTTTAAAAATAATACATTATCCCCTACACCTTGATAAAGCCATACTTAGTGGAATCCATACCTACATAACATTGACTTCACTTCTGACGCCCAGTTACCTCTAATTCTACCTACATTATTTAACTGTAGTAAAAATAAGTAACATCTTCTTGGATATCTATCATCTTCCATACAAAGTATCTTTAACCAATATGTAATAAATTTTTTAAAGTACTTTACCATTAGAGGATATCTCCCTAGTTCTCCTAGTACAACTATTTCAGGTGTATTGTTCTTGAGTCTTAAAACTCTTCTACAAAACTTTGTATGTATAGATTCGATACATTTCGATAACTCATACCCCCATATTTCAGCACCATAAGTCAAAATAGGTACAATCATTCTATCAAAAATGCAAAAGATTTGTTTATATGATGCATTGTACATCTTCATAAATTTATATATAATAAACAATGCTTTTTCTGCTGACACACACAGAGACATCTTTGTCAGTTCCCATGACATTGTACTTGTAAAATATAACCCTAGGTATTTGTAAAATGATACAATTTCAATTTCTCTTCCATCAAAAAACCATTTCTCTGTAAACACCATGATCGTTGATTATTGTAAATTAATTTTCATGCCATATTTGTAGCAAAATTTTTCTAAGGCTTTAATTTGATTTTGTAAGTTAATAACAGTTTCCGCAAAGTTAACTACATCATCAGCAAAAAGTAACTGCATAATGTTAGGATATGTCTCATCAATGTATATGCCTTTACATTCAATTGATTCTAATAATTCTGTTAGTTCCCCAATAAACATGATAAATAATAAAGGACTTAACATGCAACCCTGTCTTGTACCTATATTACATTGAAAAAAGTCTGAGATAAGATTTTGATTTCTAATACATGATGTTAATTTGGGAATGCATTGACTTTAAAAGCAATAAAATATTTGTACTGACTCCTTTCTTGAATAGTGTATACAATAAAATATGTTGTTGAACACAATCAAAAGCTTTTGAAAAATCTATAAACATGCAATACATTCTACCTTTGCTTTTACTAATATATTTATAAACACTTGCTTGAAGAACAAAGCAATTATCAATAGTAGAACGTGTCTGTCTAAAACCAGACTGTTGTTCAAACAATACTCCTTCATATTCTGCCCAACAAGTTAATCTGTTATTCAAAATTTTAGTAAAAATTTTACTGATGACATTCAATAATGATATTCTTCTATAATTTTCTGTTATATTCTTATCTCCACTCTTGTACATAGGGCATATAATAGCTTTACCCCATTCACTTGGAAAAATACCTGTTTCTAATATAATGTTAAATAATTTTACAAAGTATTGTGATAATTGATCAAGAGAGTTTTTATAAATTTCTGTCACTAAACCATCAATTCCTGGCGCTTTATTATTCTTCATTTCACTGACCTTGACCTTCAAGATTGACCTTATTTTAAAACAATCAACTTCAGTGATATTTGCTAAATGACATGTAGGGCGTTCATATTTGAGACAATATGTCATTAAAAAAGTGCTTCGCCACAGCATGATACGCCCGTCAAATATTGTTCAATAATCATAATTTGGTTAGGGTGCAAGAAAAACAGGTAACCTTAAGTAACAGATTGACACAGATTTCAATGATCTTATTTCCCATTTCTTATGTTTAAGATATTGTACATACATCTCTATGAGACTTACAGTGTAGGGATTAATTATAACAAATAATACATCATATAATTCTAAACTGGCTGTGTTAGAGCTTAACAAATATCAGTAGTAAGGGGGACAGAGAACAGTCAGTCTCCAGTCAGGAAGACGTCATTGGTTTTTCCAGACCCCACCCACAAAGGTCAAAATAGAGGTCACAGTCAAGGGTGGAGTCTACAGCCAATGACGTCATGGATTAATTTAGTGCAAAGAATGACACTGACGCTGATGCCATGGGATTTTCCAAACATACCTCACGGTCACCCGAGTTTGCTTAGCAACACTCAAAGGATTAGTTCACATAGCAACAGTTGAAGGATGATACCATAAATATCTGCTATCAGGGTCACCTTAGTTCACATAGCAACAGTTGAAGGATCATACTGAAACGGTTGGGAGTTATCTCCCTTGTGTCATATTGTATAATCAATAAATAATTGTAAATAATGTAATTAACTGGTTAATTGATTAAATGGTTTTACAAGAAAGGATGTTTTATAAATAAAAAGACACTGAAAACAATTGTTAGTTAAGATGAGCAAAGTATGCTCGGAAACGTATTCCTGCATAATTAGCCACTAAAAAGTATTACTGCTAAGATTATATAAGTAGGCAAATGGCCAGTGGGGTAGGTGTCTATACACTTCGTTATAAAGTTGACGAAGACGAATCTCTGACTGAAAAGTGATTGAGAATTGTAAGTCACAGTATAGGCTAAAGTATTACAAGTAAGAGGAGATACTTGTAGCATAGGTCGAGATATTGTGTAGGCAGTAGACGTGTACAGCCAAGTGGCATTTGTGAAAGCCAAAAGGACTTAGAGGTGAGCCAAGTGGGTTATGCTTAGCCAAGTGGATAGGAACATTTGTGGCCCTACTGCCAGGTGGCCGGTATAGACAAGTGGCTTTGGAGATTAGCCAAGTTGCAATCGGCATTGGTATAGCATAGCCAGGTGGTGTTGATATAGCCAAGTGGCAGGAATCTGTTTATTGTTTAATCATACACTAGACAAGTGTCCTTAATATTTGTATATATTGCTTAAACTTAATTGACACTAGGCAAGTGTCGTCCTATATTTGTATATATTGAATTTCTTATAATCTGTATATTTTGCATTGCATATTGTCCTTATAAGACTTGGGCATAACCAAGTACGGGCCAAAGTAGATCGCTCGGGTCCCGCACGTTACAAAATTTGGTGGCAGCGGCGGGATCTTATAGGACATTATGAGTGCAACGGGAAAGACCACATTGCTGTAGATGAGAGTATGCTTGCGACGATGGACAGGATAGAGGAGAAATTGAAGCGTTATCGTCTTGACAGTTCTACTCCTAAGAGTGACAAGCATTATGAACCAAAAGGCCGAACCAAATTGTCACCTGGATCATATGACCTGTACCAAGGGGAAATGTCGCCATATTCATTTACAGACCAGAATGTAAAAGAAGATACAAACTACAAAAGGCCTGAGCCTAGAGACAAGTTACCATATTCCTTTGAAAACCGCAATGTACAAGAAGAGGAAAATTACAATAGGCATGAGTCCAGAGACAGATCTCGATATTCATATGCCAGTGGTGGAGTTAGACCAAAGGTCCACTTTGTTGAGGAGCCACGTGGCAGAGGACAAGAGAATGATGACTGGCTGAGAAGCAATCTGTCCTTCGGTGCAAGTAATCGCCAGAAGTCTCCTGAGCGAGATGACCCCAAAGACAACGCTTCTATGCCATTGCGGACAGAGACGTCTATGGTGGATCGAGACAATAGAATAGCCATTAAACCAGCGACTTATGATGGCTCGAGCTCTTGGCTTGATTACAAGTGCCATTTTGAAGCATGTGCAAATGTCAATTGCCTGGACGAATTTAAAAATTGGTTGTTCCTTGCGTTGTCTCTGCGAGGGCAAGCACAAGCTGTGCTAGGCGACATGCCAAGTGACAGGGGACAGCAATATGTGGCACTTGTTAGATCTTTGCAAGAAAGATTCTCTCCCCCGAACCAGACCGATTTGTACAGAGTGCAACTTAAAGAAAGGCGACAGAAGGCTACTGAAACGTTATCTGAGCTTGGTCAAGCCATTCGTCGTCTTACCAACTTAGCATACCCTACAGCGCCTGGTGAGTCGAGGGAGACCCTTGCAAAAGATGATTTCATATATGTACTATAGATTCAGATATTCGTATTCGAATCAAACAGTCAAGGCCAGCCAATCTTAATGAGGCAATAAGCCTGGCAGTTGAACTAGAGGCATATAATAGAGTCGAAAGAAGGGAACGAGAGCTAAAGGGGCATTTAAGATCGGCTGTGGCAGAAGAGCAACCAGAGACGCTTGTAAATGGCAGACTGGAGGGCTGGATGAAGTCTGTTGAAGATAGTATGAAAAGCTTAGCAGAGGAATTGAAAGAATTAAAGACAACAAGGCAAATACAGAATAACAGGTGGTATAAGAACAGTGGAAAGAAAGCAGATAGAGATAGGCCAAGACCAGAAGTCATTTGCTATGAATGTGACCAACCAGGGCATATCAAGCGCAATTGTCCTACATTGAGAAATAGGTCGAAGCAGAAGTACAGTAAATCTGATGACCACAAGTCAAAGACTCGCCAAGATGACAGAGGGCCAAGTAAGAGTCCCCAAGTGTCTGTTGGTCTGGGATCTTCAATCGAAGAATGTGGGTTGTATGTCAGTGTCAATATCCAGGGTGAGAAAACAAAAGTTTTGGTTGACACTGGTGCTACTGTTACTCTCGTATCGACAAGGCTGTACGAGAGATTGCCTGAAACAGTCAGACCTAACCTGCATAAAGTTAGCCAAACCATTATGTCAGCCAACGGAACTCCATTGTCCATCAGAGGGAAAGCGGAGTTTAACTTCACTATTGACAAAAAGACATACCACAATGAAGCTGTGGTGACAGATATCAAGGTAGATGGCATTTTAGGTCTTGACTTCCTTAAGGAAAACAATTGTACCATAGACATGAACAATGAAGTGCTGACCATCAATGGGAAGGACATCAATATGACTATAGAGGGGTCACTAGGTTGTTTCCGCATTACAACTGTTGACACAGTGAGTATTCCCCAAGAAGCGAGGTTATCATCCAAGGAAAAGTATGTGTACCAGATGGCTTGAATCTGCCAAAATGCGACAGCATAGTGGAGCCAGTATGCAAGGAGACTATGAATGAGGGTACACTGACAGCAAGGACGATGGTGCGTCCACGGGAAATAGTTCCTGTTAGGTTGATGAACGTCAGTGAGGAGTCTAAGGTATTGCATACAGGAACAGTTGTAGGACAGCTGACAGAGATTGGGGAAATACAGAAGAAGCCTTTGTCTGGTGACAAATTACCATTTAAAGAGCTACGCAAGGATCTTGCTGATTTGCTCCGAAAATCAGAATGCGAGTTGACTCCAGAACAAAGACAGAAAGCAAAGGAGTTTCTTATTAAATACACAAGTCTGTTTGCAGAGAACAATTTTGACTTTGGTCGAACAGGCATAGTCAAACATCACATTGAAACGGGTGACAGCAGACCCATTAAACAACTGTTTTACAAATGATTTCTTTGTTATTATCTTTGTACCACATTGTACCAAGTAGTGCAATATTGACATGTATATATTATCATGCGGGACGCATGACCTAAGGGGGGAGAAATGAAACGGTTGGGAGTTATCTCCCTTGTGTCATATTGTATAATCAATAAATAATTGTAAATAATGTAATTAACTGGTTAATTGATTAAATGGTTTTACAAGAAAGGATGTTTTATAAATAAAAAGACACTGAAAACAAATGTTAGTTAAGATGAGCAAAGTATGCTCGGAAACGTATTCCTGCATAATTAGCCACTAAAAAAGTATTACTGCTAAGATTATATAAAGTAGGCAAATGGCCAGTGGGGTAGGTGTCTATACACTTCGTTATAAAGTTGACGAAGACGAATCTCTGACTGAAAAGTGATTGAGAATTGTAAGCTCACAGTATAGCCAAAGTAGTCTACAAGTAAGAGGAGATACTTGTAGCATAGGTCGAGAAAACCTTGTGTAGGCAGTAGATGTGTACAGCCAAGTGGCATTTGTGAAAGCCAAAAGGACTTAGAGGTGACCAAGTGGCGCCTGCTTAGCCAAGTGGATAGGAACACCTTGTGGCCCTACTGCCAGGTGGCCGGTATAGACAAGTGGCTTTGGAGATTAGCCAAGCCAAGTGGGTAATCAGTCGTTCGTATAGCATAGCCAAGTGGTGTTGATATAGCCAAGTGGCAGGAATCTGTTTATTGTTTAATCATACACTAGACAAGTGTCCTTAATATTTGTATATATTGCTTAAACTTAATTGACACTAGGCAAGTGTACCTATATTTGTATATATTGAATTTCTTTTATCTGTATATTTTGCACTTTAATATTGTCCTTATAAGACTTGGGCATAACCAAGTACGGGTCCAAGGTAGATCGCTCGGGTCCCGCACGTTACAATACTATAAATATCTACTATAAGGGTCACCTTAGTTCACAAAGCAACAGTCAAGGGAGGATTCTAAAAATTAATATCCTGATATTAATTTAAATATGATGATAAAATCAAAAGATCCAATTCAACTGAGTTAGTAAGTAATATTTTATTATCGTTTTTACCACGAAATTATGAACACATTTATGGATATTTTGAAAACACAAAAAGTAAAATTCCATCTACTTGTACAATAAAAGCAATCCTCTATAATACCTCACTTTTTTTACTAAATCATGAACTGATTGACAATAAGAGTTAATCAGTATATAAAACATAAGACAAATCCCAGTGGATATTTACAGTCCCACATGTGTCCGTTTACAGTTTTACACTATTCAGAAGTTGTAAAGCGGACTCGCTTTTCTTCTTTGTTAATTCAGCCTGGAAGACGTTAACGATGATTTTCATTTGTTCAACATCCGCTAGGACTCTGGATGTTAACATTTCAAACAACCTAAACTGCTCCTCATAATTTTGGGGGTGGAAGGGGGAGACCGCTTCCTCATTCTCTTTTGAAGCATTTTATACTTTTTACTGTTTTGCCTTCTGTAATAGAAAAAAAATGTCAATCTGTATAATTTATTTGTCTGACAAGTGTGCTGTTCTGTAAATTACTTATATTAGTACATAAATATATTGCATACATAATATATTTGCAATATTTATAACCTTAAGTTAGTCAGGATTGAGTCTTCCGCCTGACTTAATCGGTCTTCCTCCAAATTTGGTGATTTCAATGTAGGGAGCCAGTTTGAATCGTGTGCAGCCGAGTATCTGGCAACCGGCGTCAAGGTGCTACAGTGAACCAGACTTTCTTGTGTAGGACTTGCTGGTCTAAAGAAATAGAGGGAGAAATTACTCGTTATCTGTTTAAAATTTACTAAATGTAATAAAATTGTTAAAAGGTGTAATGTTACACTAAATTTAAAATGATTGGAAAAATTATGGTTCTAAAATCATTTCAATTCTAAAATTAATGTTTATACCTTTCAAGTAGAATTCTCTCGGTTTGACCAGCCGAGTAACTGGCAACTGGCCTTTTTGGTGTAGGACTTGATGGTCTAAAGAGATACAGGGAGAAATTACTCGTATGCGTGTTTTCATACAAATGTATGTTAATCTAATTGAAATTATTGTGTGGAAATATAATATAATAATGCGTACAAAATATCATTATGGTCGGTCATAATATGTTATTAAATTGTATACGTGGACCAATATTTTGTTTTAAATTTCACTACTTTATCATATTTAGACTATTATAAATCTGGTTTTTTACAATGAAATATAACTTATTTTTTCGCATTTTCACAGTAAAATAGTTTTTATAACATTAATATTGCTTTAATTTATGTAAAAAAACCCCAACAAAACAAAGTATTTTAAGGGGAAAATCATAATAATTACTTTAAAATTTATATCCCTTTGTTTTATGAAGTGAGAAAAAAAAAGATTCCTTTTAAAGTTAGCATACCAAAATTATTTCTCTTAAAATTTGATAATTAAGTCGTCATTTCACTGGGTTTAATTAATTTTGAAAATATGAACTAAAAAAATTTACTTACAGAAACTCTAGATATTCTTCAGCCTTTTCTCATGGTGATAATGTTAAGCAAAACTTCGTTGTATTTATATGTCTTGATTGAAAAATTCGGCGAGGAAATAAGGAAATTAAACAAAACAAGAGGCCCACGGGCCTTACAGGTCACCTGAGTATCATGTAACAAATTTCTAGCGATTGTATTTGGTTCGTGTTTTAATCCAAAAGCCATGAAATTCACAAATTTGAAGGAGGCACCATTGCTTATCAAAGGGCAGATTTCAAAGCATTAATTTATTTTTAGTCAAAGTACCCCCCTGGTACCCCTGACCCAGCGGCCCTGAGATTATCTATTTTGAAAGAGGCCCCTTTCTTCATTATAAGGCCAGATTTTTTTTTTATGTTTAGGTTTAGTTATGAACTTGAGAATGAAAAAGTCCCGAAGGAGAAGGAAATAAAATTTTTTTTTTGATAAATCAATTATTAACAGTTGTACATTCTATTTTTATGCTATTCAAATAGGTTCCTTACCACTGGACACATAATGCTTTAAAACAAATAGGAAAGTAGAACATTTAATAGCTTATTTCATCATCTGCTAGTTTGGGCCAGTTATATAAATTTTGTGATGTTGGTCAAAATATATTTTAAAAAATAAATTCTTTAAAAGTCTTTCAATATATCTTCATGTTTTTAATATGAGTAAGGTGAATGTGTAGACATTGTTCTCAAATTTACTTGACGCCTAAAATAATAATTCCTATCATAAAACAGACAGGGAGTATTGGGGAGTAGGGTGAACATTTTTTCAATGAAGTGTAAAATAATTTTTCTGGCTGATACAAATGATACTACATGCCTGTATATATTTGTATATTCTTGCCTTTTAATAGTTGATTTTTTTTTATTTCTTCGGGTTATTGTTTATTTCTTCCTCAGATGGACTTAACTTCTTCCATAGTTTTATTCATTACATCTGTTGCATAAGCAACCCATTTCTGAAGAATGATGTTTAGTCTGTAAGCTATAACAGAGACCTAAACAATGTCGCTGGCAATATGCAATAGCTACCACGGGCAGTTTAAAACCTGGGGGAGGAAAATAATTTACAGACAGATACTTTTGAAACGAAAACAAAATTATCTCACCAGCATGTCATTGTGCAACAAAGTCGTCAGTGTTTTATTTGTCCTTTGAACGGGTGAAACGTTTTGAATGGCAATCGTATCGATGAATTTTACACTAAACCAAGCTTTCTTCTCAGATCTAGCTTTATTTACCCGCCGTTTCATCTTAAAACCGGAAGTGTGAGTTCGTAAATTTGAAATCTCGATCTCGACTCAAATTGGACATCGGAAAGAAAAAAAATTGTTTTATTTTTTTCTGAAAATTCAAAACCTTGAGCGGAGAGTTCGTAAAACTGAAAATAAAATAAATCCTGGCCTTAAATATGTAATTAAATCATTAGTATATTAACCAGGAGGAAAGGATAAGATGTTCAAAGAATTCATGCATTTCACTATATAATCATTAGAGCCCCACCCTAAAACAAAAACCCCTGACCCTGGGGCCATAAAATTCACAATTTTGGTAGAGGCACTCTTGCTCATTATAACTATGTACTTAGTTGGTTTATTTAATACCCAGGAGCAGAGAAGAAGATTTTCAAAGAAATAATGCATTTTCACTACCTACTTATTTAGCCCCACCTAGCACTAGAACCCCTAACCCCAGGGCCATGAATTTCACAATTTTGGTAGAGGACTCATTGCTGATTACAATCATGCAAACAGTTTGACTGCTTGATGTCCAGGAGTAAAGAAGAAGATTTTTAAAGATTGCATTAATTTTAGTGGTTTTGGCCCCACCCCTCAGGCCCCAGGGGGGCAGGGATCATGAAATTCACAATTTTTGTTCCCCTTCACCCATAAATGCTTTGTGCTAAATTTGGTTGAAATTGGTTCAGTGGTTGCAGAGAAGAAGCTGAAAATGTTCAAATGTTAACGCACGACGGACGACGACGGACGATGACGGACGCAAACAGACAGCAATAGGTCACCTGAGTTTACTCAGGTGACCTAAAAATTAAGTGGGTTGGAACAGAATACCGCCCTATCCGCGCTTTCTCCGCGGGTACGAGTTCAAGGATTTGACGGGTCAAAGAAAAAATACATCACGGTAATGACGCAGGTGCTCTACTCCATTAACTGAATTATATTCCCCTTTTTAAAAATACCGCTGTGTCTTGACATATCTGAGCGACACACCTGACAGGAGTAATCTGCGCATTCCCTGACTGTCTAATGAGGTGAAAGTTGTGTTAATTAATTCATGGTTGTTCTAGTTTTTCTACACCGGTCAACTCAGGTAAATTGCAAGAAACATGATAGTACTTTATGTCACATCGTTTTAATCCATCTTTATTCAGAGCTCTATGTTAAAGAATATGTACGTAATTTTTAGCTCTACTGGTCAGAGACCAGAAGAGCTTATGCGATAGTAATG